GTCAATTTTTAGAAAAAACATTTTTCAACATAATCGCCTTGATTTTCAATACACTTTGTCCAACTGGCAACACACTTTCGTATTTTCTTATGTAAAAAAGTTTTAGGCTGAGCCTAAAGGTACTGCTATGAGCCATAAAGGCACGTCATTAGCAGTGAATCTTTGTCCTTGAACAGACGCTTTCAGGGGACCAAATAGGTGAAACTCCAATGGAGCAGTTAAATTTATTTATTCTTAAAATCTGCTTGAGTTCATTTGGAAGTTCTGTAATTACATTATTCCCTCTTTTTACTTTATGGGTGTGTTGTTGCAACGGACACCTCTGTTTTCTTATTTTCAGTCTTGTAGATTTGTTTTACTTTGAATATTCTGTATCTGAGTTCTGGCTGATAGTGTGTATGTCAGTCTCCTATTGTTGGTTGTCAAAAGAACGCCTTTTAGTAGTTTTTATGTTGGTCTGGTTTTTATAAATTTTTATGTTTATCTAGAAAGATCCTAATTTTGTTTTTATATTTGATGGACAATGTTGCTGGATATACGATTTTTGGTTGGCAATTATTTCCTAGAGTTTTATAGGTCTTCTTGCCTACATGATTTCTGCTGAGAATCAGAGCTCTCTTATTAGTTTTCCTTTGTAGGTAACTTTTTTTTTTCTCCCTGAACTGCTATCAGTATTCTTTCCTTGTTTTTGGTTTTGAAAAGTTTGATTATATCATGATTTTCTTTTTGGCTCTTCCCTGTTTGGGACTAGTTCAATTTCTTGAATGCATTTCTTCTTGTCCTCCATTATGTTAGGGATTTTCTTCCAACTCTTGGGACACTTTTCTTTTTTTGGGTCTCTTCCTGTTCTGGAATTCCAATCACAGTTAGTACTACGGGTAGTGTCTCACATAAATCTTAAGACTTTCTTCAGGTGTTTTTTTTTCTTCCTGATTCTTCCTCTAGCTGATGAATATTGAGAGATTTTTTAAGCTCAGAAATTCAGCCTCCCACTGATTCAGTTCTAAAACTTCTTTGCCTTTTCAATGTATTATCTATTTTTGAAGTCTTTAAAGTATTATACTTTCAGTTTATTCTAATTGATGTTTTGTATGGTTACAATTTTTCATTTATTGTGTTTCCTGAATTCTTCTAAAGTTATGTTTTCCTTGAGTTCATGTTTTGTTGAGTCAAATAGACTGTTTCATGTTTTTGTTTTTTCTATCATTCTGTATCTATTGAAAGTCTAAGTTCTTTTAGACTTCTTATCAATTTTTCATTTATTGTGTTTCCTGAATTCTTCTAAAGTTATGTTTTCCTTGAGTTCATGTTTTGTTGAGTCAAATAGACTGTTTCATGTTTTTTCTACCATTCTTTACCTATTGAAAGTCTTAGTTCTTTTAGATTTCTTATCAAGTACTTCTGATACCATATTTTATTTTCTGACTGTAATATGGCCACTTGCTAGAGGCAGTGTCTTGTTTTTGTGTTGGCTGAAATTGTGTTTTCTGAGACTTCATAGTGTCGTATTTGTATGATTGCATGTTAATGTTCTCTAGCACTCACTGTGATGTTGTCTCCTGATGGATGTAGTAAGACTGGAAGGGTGAACACAGTTGTTGTTTGTGTAGCATAGTTCAAGGTTGGTTTCATGCGCCTTCAGAAGCAAGGGCACTATGGCAGGCACTCTAACCCAAGCGGAGCAAAGGCTACGCAGAACAGGGTGGCACTGACTGCTGGGTTGGCAAGGGCTAAGAGTAGGCTGTTAGGCTGGTGCAGTAAGTGTCCTCACTGCCAACCTCCAGCAGTGTTGTCTACCGTTCCCTATATCAGAAACCAGTTGCAAAAGTTTAAGATGGTCACACACACACACCCCTCCATGACCGCCGATTGCCCATTTTGTTCTCGCTGCTCCTGTGCTTTCTCTTCCAGTTGGCACACAATGCACCTTTTTTCAACATTCCAGGGACACTACGTTTCACTTGGTCTCCCATATCTTTGCTGCAGAATGTCTACCTACTGCGCCATCTTGTCTTTGAAACCTATATGAATTCTTAAGCAGAGATTTAATAGCGGTGCTGCGAGTTAATGTGCAGAACCAGAGGGTCGGTTTGAACTGTAAGGTTGGCGGCTCAAGCACACCAGTTGCTCCTCGGAAGCCCTACACAGGGTTGCTATGGTTTGACTCGATGGCACTGAATAGTCTAGTTATTCTTCAACGTGAAATGAAATGCCAAGACGACAAAAACTCAAGTTTTACCAAAAAATTTAATATATTGCCAGCAGTTAAGAATTCAGGGCTTCCTAAATTTACTAAGATATGGCAGATGCTGTTAAGTCCTGTCGAATTGGTTCCGATACATAGCAACCCTGTATAGGGTTTTTGAGGAGCAGCTAGATGTGACTAGTGCTTAGACCTAGTTATTCTGCCTGGAGTGCACATAGTATTCCACTTGAATTTGAGGTAGAAAAAAAGATGGATTTTACAAAAAATCCTTTTAGCAGCACTACTTGGCTTTCACATATTGATATTCTAAGAACACATTACTCTTATAAGAATAAACTAACCTGTCTTGAAAAGGTACAGCTAGAATGCTCCTACGAAGCCAAGTTGGTGAGACTTCATCTCTGTCTTTGGACATGTCGTCAGGAGGGGTTAGTCCCTGGAGGACATCATGCTTGGTAATATGGAAGGTTGAAGAAAAAGAGGAAGACTCCCCTCCCCCCCCCCCAACCAATAGTGTTTGACACAGTAGTAACAACAATGGGCTCAAACAATTGTGAGGATGGTGGGAGACAAGGCAGTTTTTGTTGTGCATACGTTTGCCGAGTCGGAATCGACTCGGTGCTTAGCAGAACCACCTCAGTTTCCTTAATTCTAAGCTTCCTCGAGTCTAGGAATACCTGTAGTCAAAATAACTCTCACATTTAAAAAGGTTTAAAAAAAAAAAATCCTCAATTTATTTTGAAAAGAAAAAGTGCATGGATGCATTTTAATTCCAAAACTAAGGGTGTCACAGAAGAAAGTTTAATATCCAATTATTAAATGTTATATAAACATGTTTACATAGATACAGATACTTATAATATTCTTCTTGCCCAGCCACTAAGGAAAGATCGCCCGAGATTAATAGAATCAAGTTATTTTTTCCTGCCAATTATTTTTAAGACAGAGGGATAAAATATGAGTATGTCATCTAATGGCAAGAAAATAGCAAATACAAGCAACTTGACAAATGTATTCTATGTAGAATTTTTATTAAAAAGAGAATAGCCATGACCATATAAAATGAGTGGCTTGGGCTTATATTTTGCTACATCCAAGAACTTAAAAATTGAGAATAGTGTTACAGTGATTTATAATAGCATTCCTTGATAGAGGCATTAGATTTCTAGCAATAAAGACTCTTTTAAATATATATATAAAAAAACTAACCCTCAGTGTCATGTGTGAGAATCATCAGTTACTGATGAATCGTCGAAGAATTTCCAAGAGCTATTTGGTGGTATTATCTCAAGGTACACAACCATAGGTTAAGAAAACAACCTTCCAAAAAGATTTTTGGAAAGCTGTCCAGTCAGAGAACAGAATGCCACTGCTTGATACTTAGGGAATATCCTGCTTCCAAGTTAAGTCTGAAGAATAAATAACACAAATTATGAATGCACCCAAGATCCCCAAATAAATTAGTAAAAGTGCCATTATCTTAAGATTCATCAGACACATAATCAGTGTTTAAATACAAATTCAGATTTGATGAGTCAAAAAGATACAGTGATTTTTTATTACATAAAATTTCTCCGGTGTGGTAAAATGTTAACAAGACATATTATTTGTATAAGTGTAGAGGGTATTATGGTTGAATTTTTAATACCACTTTATTATTGAATATAAGAACAAAACAGTAAGTAGTGGATGTATACGAAGCACTGAGTCCTCTAAAATTTGAGGCTGTTATATTACTGCTCAACCAAAATATACTACCATTCTCTAATAATATAAATGCCCACTTAATTTATCTTTTAAAAATAAAGTCCATTTTTTCTCAATTAAAGCTTCTAGAAGACTGACAAAGGTACATTCTACCTATTAAAAATAGGGGTACTCTTCATCTTTGGATAAAGTATCATCACTTATGGATAACGTAACCATATACAGAGCACTAAATTTTTGAGGCAGCTGTTGGGAGTCCATTAAAACACTATTTAAACACTGTACCCCCTTAAGTTTGTCTTTAATAATAGCTTTGGAAAATCAAAACTTTTATGACAGAGCATTTAACTCAGATTTGGTTAAAAAAAAAAAATCCCATTTCTGTCAAGTCGATTCTAACTCACATAGATCCTATAGAAAAAAGAACTGCCCCCAAAGGTTTCCAAAGCTGTTATCTCTAGGGAAGCAGCTGTCACATCTTCTCCGGACAGAATGGCTGGTGGATTCAAACTACTGATCATTTAGTTGGCAGATGAGTGCTTAACCACTGTACCACCAGAACTACTCCTCAGATTTGATCATAATAAAATGAAAAGTTTAGTGCAGTGTCAATTTATCTATGTAAATCATTGGATGTTAGTTTTATGCTGTTTGATTTTTTATGACGCAACAACAAAAACAAATTTAACTTTTTGAAAAAGTCTAAGTCTTTGACTTAGTATTTATAGCAATGCAAAAATGAAATAAAACACTGTATTTAAAAAGGAAGTTCTACAAATTGGTTCCAATGTAAACAATTTCATTAACAGATTAGTTAAGTGTAGATACCAATGTGCCCAATACCCTTAATAACTAAATTTAAAAAAAAACCCTAGTAGCATTTTATAGATGGAATCCATAGTTTATATATTTTCAAAACATGTTCGCACAGAACCAATACTTCTCCATGAAAGAAGACTTGTTAAAAACGATTTAAAAAAAAATGCCAATAAAACAATGGAAACGTATTTCATTTCACTGTGCCCAAGGATAAGACACAAATATTGGCTGAGAGAGGTAGATCAAAAAGAAAAAGAAAACCAGATTCTCCATTCTTTGTCACTTTTATTCAGTAGTTTTTTTCCTTATTTTCAGTGCCAGACATGGCAAGGAGTGATTACAGCCAACTGTTATTAAAACATTTGTTCGCAACATATACCCCCTTTACCACTGACCCCAAACTGACTCATTTTGTGTGCTTTCATTCGTTCGTTCGTTTTTTTGTTTTTTTTTTAATACACCACCACCAAGACTGGGTGGAGGGGGCTAAGGTAAGAGATGAAGGGGAGGAGTCCAGGAGGCCAGAAGAGGAGGAATGCTACAAGCCACAGTAAGAATGAGCTGTATTTAATTTAAAAAATGGGGAAGGGGTGTACCCCACAAATGATACAGTATGAGGATACACAATTAAATCCCATAGCATGACTGAAGGCTTTCACTGTGTTTGACGTCATCACAATGGAAGGCATAAAAAGTGGAGTAAATCAATGTTGATACAGTCCAATCTAGTCCATTAGGCAAGATGGTGCAAGAAGTCATTTAAATTAAAAGTGCCCTACCCTTACCTAAATGGCTAGCAAACATGGAGAATAGCACAGTGATGAAACCACAGAGCTTTCTCCATGTAGCTATAAAAATGTGTTTCAAATGGCACATTGTTAAACACTGGAAAGGGGTGCCACAATGGACCTCTCTCTTTTATAGGTACGAATGCTAGATTCAACTATCTCAACTAAGCAGGAAGTGGGCTCTTCTGCTAGGAATGCCAACCCTAATTCACTTTGTCTTGAAATATATACAGATTGTTTGTAGTAGCTACAGCAATGATATTTTCCTTGGGGTGCCAGGCTGTATGAAGTATTTTCTTGTTGAAGTCTAGGCTGTCAACACTTATTTCATCTTTCTTTCGCTTGCCACTTGCACAGACTTTGCGTGGCTTCAGAACTGTGCGAGGTTTATTGTTTTCCCGTGATGCTTCTAGGGTTATGTCTCGCTTTGTGTTCCTGTCAAACATTCTGAAGAAATTATTGTAAGATCCAGTCATGACAACACTGTAAAAGCAGATAGAACACTCAGTCAAACACAAGAACAAAACACTTTGTCAGCAATATTATTCAGTGACTAAATTTAGTCTAGGGGTCCACAAAAACAACTATGTTAAGAAGATTTGAATTAAGGAACAGGGTTGTAGACAGTAACCAAGTATTTTCCTCAACTTTGCTAATTAGTTATCTACTCTTTGCCTTGTTCCATCTCCTCACTAATGATGTCTCAGGGTTAGCAGGCACACTATAAAGACAAGGTTTTGTTATCCTGTGGCCAATCTTTTAACAGACCTCATGTTATAAACAGACTAAAAAAATAAATAAATAAAATCAGATAAAATATAAAAGTTCCAAGTTCTACTATCCTCTGTAACATGAAGCCCTTTGTTTCACTGATTAAACTATTAACTAAAGTATATCTAAATTGTTTAAATGCAACCTTAATTCCAAAATTATGTCTTCTTTTACTCCTGTTTTAGTGGAACAAAGTAAATGTTTCAAATAAATATTAACAACTAAAACCCTGAAAGATTAAGGATTATTTATCCTTGGAAACAGGGGTATATATTTTAACAGTAAAAAGGAATCATACTATAACAAACTTGGAGATTATACAAAGCACTAATTACTTATGGCTATAAGGTTAAAGCAATGATACATATCAATTATTACTTATATGAACTGGATTTTGAACCACAAGTTTGGCAGTTCAAGGCCATCAGCCACTCCATGTAAAATGATGTTTCTTTGTTGATTTTTAAATGATGTTTTTTGATTCCACAAAGACTTAAAGCATTGGAAACCCTATAAAAGGTCACTATGACTCAGAACCGACTCAATGGCATTTAAAAATGATATCGTGTATGAAGTATAAATATAATATTTGAAAAAAACTGGCATATAAAAGGAAAAAGATCTATTGCCTAAATACTTCCACCACTCGTCTGTCAGTTTGTTGTACTGTGGTAGTTTGAGTGTTGATATGATGTTGGAAGCTGTCACCAGTATTTTAAGTACCAGCAGGGTTACCTAGGGTGACCAAGTTCCAGCAGGGCTTTCAGAATGGAGACAGAGTAGGAAGAAAGAGAGTGGATTACTTCTAAGTGTTTAGCCATTGAAAACCTTATGAATAGGAGTACATCATTGTCTGATACAGCGCCAGAATTTGAAAACATTATGAATAGCACCAGAATATTGTCATATAAGGCTGGAAGATGAGCCCCAGGTTGGAAGGTACTCAAAAAAATACAACTGAGTAACAGCTGACCGTGATGACATGAATGGAGTAAAGCTTTTGGGCTTTCATTTGCTAAAGGGACACAAGGCAAAATATATGTTATGGAACATATAAAGATTGATATTCTGGCATTAGTGAGCTGAAATGTACTGGTATTAGTCAGTCGGAATCAGAAAATCACACAGTTTGCAAAGCTGGGAGCAAAAAATTGACCAGGAATGGTGTAGCATTGTCAATAACATTTCAAGATCTATCTTGAAGTACAATATTGATTCTAATTAGATCATAATCATAATCCTACAAAAGAGACCAGGAAATATCCACTGTTCTTCATATATGTGATATGCAGGTAATACAACCTTGGCTGCTTAAAGTGAAGGGGACTTAAAAATCAAAGACCACAGCCTTCAGTATGGCTTGCACCTCAATGTAAAAAAAATAAGTCTTCACCACTGGACCAATAAATAACATCAAAATAAATGGATAAAGAATGAAGTTGTCAAAAACTTCATTTTGCTCAGATCAACTATCAACACTCATGGAAGCAGCAGTCAAGAAATCAAATGATGTATTTAATTGGGCAAATCAGCTTGCACAAGACAGCTTTAAAGTGTTCAAAAGCAAAAACGTTCAGTTTGAGGACAAAGGTGAGCCTGACCCAAAGCCATGGTATTTTTTCATATGCATGTGAAAGTTGAATAATGAATAAAAATGACCATAGATGCATTTGTGCTACAGTGCTGGAGGAGACTATTACAAGCACCATGGACTGCCAAAAGAAAAAACAAATCTGTATTGGAAGAATTATAGCCAGAATGCTCCTTAGAGGCCAGGATGAGCAGGTTCTGTCTTTGATACTTTGGGTATATATAATCAGGAGGGGCCAGTCCCTGAAGAAGGTCATTTATACTTGGTAAAGTGGTGGGAAGGTCATTGAAAAAGAGGAAGACTCCCAGCAAGATGGATTGTCAGAGTGGCAGCAGCAACTGGCTTAAGTGTGGCAGGAATTGTGAGGTTGGCACAGGACCAGGCAGTGTTTGTTTCTGTTGTGCATAACGTCATTTTGAGTCAGTACCAACTCGATGACACCTAACAACGACATATCCATATGAAAGTTGGAAAACGAATAAAGAAGATGGTAGAAAAAGCGATGCATTTGAGTTATGGTGTTGTAGAATAATAATAAACAGATCTGTGTTGGAAGAAGTACAATCAGAATGGTCCTCAGAAGCCAGGATGGCCAGACTTCGTATTTCATACTTCAGACATATTAATAGGAGGGGCCATTCCCTAAAGGACATCACGCTTGGTAAAATGGAAGATCAGCGAAAAAGAAGATCCCCAATGAGACGGAATGGCACAGTGGCAGCAGCAATGGACTCTAGCATAGTAAAACAACTGTGAGGATGGCACAGGACTAACCAGTGTTTTGTTATGTTGTGCTAAGGTTGCTATGAGTTGGAATCAACTTGAAGGCACCTACCAACCACCACCAATATATATGGCCCTTAACCAGATGGAATACTCAGAAATCTAGTTTACTACATGCGTCGGAGGATATGGTGGAAAAGCTCAAAATCATCAGTCAAAATAATACTAGGGGCCTATTTATGTACAAATTCAGGCTGAAGCTGAAAAAATTAAAACAAGAGACCCAAAAGATGAACGTTAACAAATGTCTCATTTCAAGAACAGATCTGATGCATAAGACACTAATAGCAAACACAAAAACTTATAGGGATGACATAAAAAATACCATACAGGAAGAAAGCAAAAGGTCATTAAAAAGACAGGAAACAATGGAAATACCAAAGTGGATGCCAAAAGTGACGCTGAAATTTATTCTTCAGTGTAGAGATGCTAAAGTGAAAGGAAGAAATGAAGAAGTCAAAGAGCTGATCAGAGTATTTCAAAGGGTAGCTCAAAAAGACAAACTTTAGTATTATAATGAAATGTGAAAAGACCGAAAGGTAAGAACATTCATCATTTCTCAAGCTTAAAGAAGTGAAGGAAAAATTCAAGCCTTAACTTGCAATAGTGAAGGATTCTATAGGTAAAATGGAGATCTGGTGTGGCGCTGTCAGATAGGAGCGCTGAACCACAATTCAAACACACCAAAACTGCTCCCTAAGGATTGCTGAGTCAGAACCAACTTGACAGCACTTAACAACAACATTGGTAAAACAGTGAATGAAGCAAAAAGCATCAAAATAGAAAGTGGAATGTACAGTCACTGTACCAAAAAGAAAAGGCTGATGTTCAACCATTTCATGATATAGAGAACTGACAAAATACAAATTGAGATCTTTCAACAAACTGATGCACCACTGGAGGTAATCAGTCATCTATACCAGGAAAACTCAATTACAGCTACCTGGCCAACTGACTGGAGGTTACCTAAATCTGTGCCCATACCCAATGGAATGCAGAAATAATCGGACAACTCATTAATATCACATGTAAGTAAAATTTTTCTGAAGAAAACTAATGGTTGCAGCAGTTTATCTACAAGTTGTTGTTGCTAAGTGCCGTTGAGTCAGTTCTGACTCATAGCAACACTGTATAAGGTTTTCAAGGAATGGCTGGCAGATTTGAACTGCCACCATGTGGTCAGGTGCTTATCCTTGTTCGGTGCCATCGAGTTTGTCCAGACTCTTAGCGACCTTATACACAGCAGAATGAAACACTGCCCGATTCTGGGCCAGCCTCACTATTGTTGCCATGCTTGAGCCCACTGATGCTGCCACTTGGCCAATCCATCTCATGGGGGGTCTTCCTCTGATCCTTCACCTTACCAAACTTCCTTCTCCAGCGACTGGTCCCTCCTGACAATATGTCCGAAGTAGGAGAGATGAAGTTTGGTGATCTTGGCCTCCAAGGAGCACTCTGGCTGCACTTCTTCCAACACAGATCTGTTGGTTCTATGGGCAGCCCATGGCACTTTCAATAGTCTCCTCCAACACCATAACTCAATCCTACAGTGCCACAAATTCAAGTCAGATTCAAAACAGGACATGGTACAAGGGATATCATTTCTGACATCAGATGGATCTTGATGGAATTCAGGCAGAGAATACCAGAAAGATGTCTACTTGGCTTTACTGACTATGCAAAGATATTTGACTATGTGGACCATAACAAATTATTGCAAAGAAAAGGTATTCCAGAACACTGAACTGTGCTCATGAGGAATCCGTGAAGAGACCAAGAAGCAGTTGTTTGAATATATGCAGATAATACAACCTTGCTTGCTCAAAGTGAAGAGTACTTAAAATACTTACTGATGAAGATCAATGACCGCAGTATGGATGGCAACTCAATGTAAAGAAAACAAAAATCCTCATAACTGGACCAATGTATAGAATCATGATAACTGAAAAAAGACTGAAGTTATCAAAGTCTCCTTCTTGCTTGGACCCACTATCAACACTCACGGAAGCAGCAGTCAAAAAACTCTGCTGCACAAGACCTTTTTAAGTGTTCAAGAGCCAATATGTCTTTTTGAGGATTAAGCTGTGTCTGACTCAAGTCTTGGTAATTGCCTCATATGCATGTCAAAGTTGGACAATGGAGAAGGAAGACTGTAAAGAAACTGATGCATTTGAGTTATGGTATAAGAGAATACTAAAAGTACCAAGAGCTACCAACAACAGCTGTTAATGTTAAGTACTTTCAAGTCCAGTCTGACTCAAAGCAAGCCTACATAGGGTTTCTGAAGAGCGGCGAGTAGGTTTGAACTGCCGACCTTGCTGTCAAGAATTCCAGTGCTTATCTTATGGTGCCACAGGAGAGTGAAATAGCAAGTTTCTTTCCTTTGATGATGTTCACATTTGAATGAGGGGTTCAAATTACCTGTCAGAGCCATTCCAACAACATTCAAATTTGTCAAATATGCAGTCATTTTCATATAGTGAACAAAGTTTGCTTCTGAGGTATTCATGTACCTGGAGAAAAACATAAATGGATCACATAGATGTTTACTTGACCTCATAAACTACCTATTGAAATTAGAAAATGGATGCTGCAAGTCAATTATCTTAAAAACATAAAAAGGGGTCATATATACACTTTTTATTCTTCCTCTTTCTTAGTATCTTTATTAATAGTAAAAGCATTTTACCCTAAATTTAGAAACATAGTAGTCCTCTTTCAGAAATAGACATTTTGCTATTGCAGAACAGAGAAAAAAATTCCCTTTAAATGGTATATACACTTTTTGTAAACTTGACACTAAAATATTTTAAGATAGAAAATATACCATACTATATCTGGCTTTCAGTCTACTAACTGCTGGTTTTAAAAAACACACAGAACACTGAATACTATGCTTCTTTCTTTTTAAATACCACTTTATGGCCATAAAGAATTGCATGCCTGCATTTTCACTATGTTACGTAGCATGATCATGTGCGAGTTTATGGACAAATTATATGGTTAATCTGATGTTTGTTGCTAAACACCATCGAGTCAGTGTCGACTCATAGTTACCCTGTATATATAGGTTTCCAAGGAGTGGCTGGTGGGTTTAAACTGCCGACCTTGTGGTAGCTGTCCAATACTTATCTTACAATGCTACAGAAGGATCCCATGGTCAACCTAGGTATGTGTTATTAACAAACCTGGCATCATTTCTTGGTATTAATACCAAATGTAGTAAAAACGTACCTTTTATGTTTTGAAGTGTAATTCTGTATTTACTGGCTAATATTTCACAAAGGTATAAACTAAAAAAAGTAAGTATATCTAGTATTGAGTGTTTTAAATATGATGCAATTCAATATCAACAGTGTTAGTTTACAAATGAAAATTACAGCATGTTTGCTGTCACCAGAAGGATTCACAATCTCACGAGTTGTTAAGTGCCGTGTACAAGGAAAAACAAAAAAAAATTCCTTTCAGTCACATATAGCTCAGTGAGATATTTGTGCAAATTCAACAAAAATAAATCAGTATAAGCTTAATTTGTGGATAATTTAACTTTATTCATGATGAATAATTTGATTTGATTCAGTATAGGCAGGGAAACTACAAATTAGGTGGAAGATTACAAGGTTCTTTAGAATCTTGGGGGTTACACAAGCATAAACAAAGCAGTACCTCTATCCCTTTGCTTATTTAAAAAAAAAAAAAAAATTTACATCATATAATGCCTGGGATAAAACCATGCCTTTGCTTTTATTTTACCCATGGTACTTGTTTTGAAATGTCAAATGCTATGAAGGAAGATTTCAGCAAACTGCCAGATTCTTACATGCAGCTAGTGGGTGGGTGTGAACATCCATTTGGTGAGTAGTCAACAGAAAACAGTTTATGTGACCTAGAGATCTTTCTCGGTGCGGTAAGCTTACTGAAGAACAAACACCACATTGGGATTAACACAACAAAATCTATATCTGTAAACTCTATTATAAAGTAAATAAGTATATGCTCGTAGAATGACAAAATGCAAATACCTGATATGTTTCCACAGGCCTGTTTTCCATATTTAAATCCCAAATTTTGACAGACAAATAGTCTCTAGTCATCATATATCGGCCACTATGGCTGAATTTTACATCAGAAATAGAAGAGATGATTTCAGAAAAAAAAGATCTGTTACTGGGATCTTCAGGTTCTTCAAACACTAAAAACAAGCAGGGAAGGAAAAAAAAAAAAAAGAGCAAAGTGTGTAATATTTTGGCTTGAGCAAAAAAACATTTCCTATTTCCCAAAACAATCCTTCACAAACTTTTCTTGTAAACAGAGTACTGAATCTTCTTCCCGAGGAGTAGCTAGTGGTTTAAACTGATGATAATTGGTTAGGAGCTGAGAGCTTTACCACTGTGTTATCATGGCTTTGATAGCAAAATAAAAGGACTGAAAAACATTCTGGTTCCAATCACATAATTTCCCTGAAAGTTTTTGTTAAGCTGATCAGTTAAGTATGTCGTACACTTCCAGAATCATAGAGCTAATTCAGCCAGAACAAAAGTCATTCAGAACTTGACTTCAGTACCAGGGTTACATACTGTGCATACAGACTCACTGACTGTCTATATTTGTTGTTAAGTGCCATTGAGTCTATAGAGTTTCTGAGAAGTGGCTAGTAAGTTTGAACCTTACAGTCGAGTACTTACACTATAGGGCCATATGAGTACTCCACTGTCTATATTGTCATAATGAAAATACACTTTCCAAATTTATACCTGCATTTTATCTTTTTGTGAGCAGGTAAAAATTCTTTTGATAACAGGTATGCACTGATTTTCATGAGCTTTAATAAATATTCAACAACATGGAAACAAGAATAGGCAACTCTTTCATTTTTTAATCCAATGGTTTCTAAACGTTTTCTTTCTAAGCGATGGAAACCTCTTCTCATAAAAAAATCTTTGCAGGAAGATCGAAGCAGAAATGAAGGGAGTAAAGAAGAAAATATAAAAAAGGGAGGACATATGAAGAGAAATGGAAAAGAGGAAAGGGAAAAGAAAAGAAACTTTAATACAAGACTGAGGAGCACCAAAGGGCCAACAAGTTCCCCCCAAATAGCATTCCAATAAAAATACACCCATAAGGATACATCAGCAAGAAATAATGCCAAGAGTTCTTCCAGTATAGTAGCTTCCAAATTTGAGGTTACTGTTGACAAATAAGACAATGTTACCATTTTAAAGAAAGACTCAATAAACTTACGTTTAGAATGTCTATCACAGAGGGCAGATGCCCTCATGTCACATAACCGAATTGTTCCTTTACTGCTGCTGTATACAAATGTATTACAGCTGTTTGGATGGAATTCTGCTGCTGTAATCACCTCAGTGAGCTCTTCCATATTGGCAGGCTTAATGTCCACAATATCTGAATACATGTTATTAAGGAATTTCCACTTAGGAAAAAGGCAAATATAATTTTACATTTCTAAAATGTACAAGTCATTCATATACCATATACATAAATGCAAGTACAAGCAACTTGAAAGTCTTTTGAAAAAATTAGATTCTCTAATTCCATGTTTCACTGAACCTTTTAAAAGTCCCCTCACATTAATTCTAAATTGTATTCTAGTTACAGTTCAAAACTGATCTCTTGGATTTATTAAAAAACACAAACAAAACAATAGCAATAAATCTTTTAAATTCCTCACAAGAAGTCAGCATTTAATCAGTTTATATCTGTTTATCTGTTTTCATTTAACAGGCTTCTTTGTAATGAGGGGAATTCAGAACCATTAGATGCTAAAAAAAAGTATCCTATATATATTCCATAGAACAGATTATAAGTAAATCAATGGGTCAGAATCCAGTCCAGAGGGACTCCAAAATAATATGGAGAGCTAACATGTATAATAAAGGTGAGTTTAGTTAAGCCAGTGCGTGAAATGTGTGTTATTCTTTTTTAAACAACTGGACATCTGGGGAGAAAATAACCTGAAAATCCACAGTTTACTCCTTACACGAGAATAAACTCTAGATGGATCAATATTTCAATGCCTAAAAAAACACAAACCCCAAACATTAGAGGAAAGCATGGACATTTAAAATCATGTTAGAATGTGGACATCTTTGTAAATATGATACAAATGCCAAAATCCATAAAGAAAATAATAATAATAATGAAAAAAGGGCAAGGAGGAAACTACTGCAATGCAAATTTACTTAACATAAAAAGGGTGCTTAAAGAAAAAAAAAAAACAATGAACAAATAAGAATAAAAAGAAATACAAATGCTTTAAACACATGCAACAATTACTCAAGTCTACTCATTAGAGAAATACAAGTCAGAACAACAGAGTACTTTTCACTAACTTAGATTGGGTAAGGTATAATGAAAAGGACTCTCTTATATATTGTTAAGTGCCATCTGTCCTGTCAGCTCCGAGTCATAGTGACGGCTGTATAGGGTTTCCTACAGAAGAGGCAGCTGACAGGTTTGAACTGCCAACCTTGTGGTTCATAGTCCAGTACTGATCCTACAGGGCACACTAACATATTCTTAGTAGACTACATCTTTATATAAAATTTTGTTATTTGCCAATGGAATCAATTTGTAAAAACATAATTAACAGTGTTAGTAACACTTGCTAACATTTATCAAGACTTTAAGAAACATACATAAATGGGATTGAGAAATATTTCTACTGATTATAGTTATAACATTTATAGTGGGTCTATTTTTGTTGATTTTTTCAAAATCAACAAAAATTTAAAAACATACTTCTCAAATTTGTTGTTTACAAAAACCTCACTTACTAAAAAACAATTGCAATACACATCCCTTAAGTCCATGAATATAATTATTGTTGTTAGGGGCGATTGAGTCGGTACCGACCCATAGCGACATTATGCACAGCAGAACAAAACACTGCCAGATCCTGGGCCAACCTCACTATTGTTGCCATGCTGGAATCCATCGCTGATGCTGTCACTTGGCCAATCCACCTCATTGGATGGTCTTCCTCTTTTTCTTTAACCCTCCACCTTACCAAACATGATACCCTTCTCCAGCGACTAATCCCTCCTGATAATATGTCCAAAGTATGAGACGAAGTTTGGACATCTTAGCCTGTAAGAAGCACTCTGGCTGCACTTCTAATATTCTCCTCCAATACCATAACTCAAAAGCATTAATTCTTCTATGGTCTTCCTTATTCACTGTCCAGCTTTTGTATGCATATGAGGTTATTGAAAACACTATGGCTTGGGCCAGGCACACCTGAGTCCTCAAGCTGACATCTTTGCTCTTCAACACTTTCAAAAGGTCTTATGCAGCAGATTTGCCTAATGTAATTCATCGTCTGATTTCTTGACTGCTGCTTCCATGAGTGTTGCTAGTTGATCCAAGAAGAATGAAGTCCTTGACAACTTCAGTCTTTTCTCCATTGACAAAAACGTTGTTTATTGTTCCAGGTGAGGATTTTTGTTTTCTTTACATTGAGATGTAATCCATATTGAAGGCTGTGCTCTTTGAACTTCATCAGTAAATGTTTCACTGGTTTTACTTTCAGCAAGCAAGGTTGTATCATCTGGATATTGCAGGCTGTTCATGAGTCTTCCTCCAATTCTGATGCCACATTTTTCTTCTTGGAACCCAGCTTCTCGGATTATTTGCTCAGCATGCAGGTTGAATAAGTATGGTGAAAGAATACAACTTTGTCGCACACCTTTCTTAATTTTAAAACATTTAGTGTTCCCATGTTCTGTTCAAACAACTGCCTCTTGGTCCACGTACAGATTCCTCATGAGCACAATTAAGTGTTCGGAATACTCATACTTCGCAATGTTGTACACAGCTTGTCATGATTCACACAACCAAAAGCCTCTGCATAGTTAATAAAAAACAGGTAAACATCTTTCTGGTATTCTCTGCTTTCAACCAAGATCCATCAGACATCAGCAATGATACCCCTTGTTCCACGGCCTCTTCTGAATCCGGCTTGAACCTCTGGAAGTTCTCTGTCAATGTATTACCTTTAGCATAACTTTACTCACAAGGCATATCAAAGAGATTGCCCGATCATTTCCACATTCTGTTGGGTCACCTCTCTTTGGAAAGGGCAAAAATATGGATCTTTTCCAATCAGTTGGCCAAATAGTTGTCTTCAAATTTCTTGGCAGAGATGAGTTAGTGCCTCCTGTGCCACCTCACTTTCTTGAAAGATTTCAGTTTTTATTCCATCGATTCCTGGTGCCTTGTTCTTTGCCAATTCCTTCAATGCACCTTGGACTTCCTCCTTCAATACAATTGGCTCTTGATCATATGCTACCTCTTGAAATGGTTGAACATTAACCATTTCATTTTGGTACAGAGACTCTGTATATTCCTCCCATCTTCTCTTGATGCTTTCTGCATCATTCAATAATTTGCCCAGAGAATCTTTCAATAACTAAAGTCGAGGCTTGAATTTTTTCTTCAGTTCCCCCAGCTTGAGAAATGCTGAGCGTGTTCTTCCTTTTTGGTTTTCTGACTCCAGATCTTTGCACATTTCATTCTAATATTTGACAGTATCTTCTTAAGCTGACCTATGAAATTTTCTGTTGAGCTCTTGTACCTCCCTCATTTCCTTCATTTGCTTTAGCATCTCTAGGCTGGAGAGGAAGTTTCAGTGTCTCTTCTGACATTCATTTTGACCTTTTCATTCTTTCTTCTCAATGACTTTTTTGCTTTCTTCATGTATGATGTTCTTGATGTCATACCACAATTCTCCTGGTCTTCGGTCTTTAGTGTTTTAATGTGTCAAATCTGTTCAAATGATCTCTAAATTCAGGTGGGATATATTCAAGTTCATATTTTGGCTCTCGTGGACTTGTTTTCATTTTCTTCAGCTTCAGTGTGAATTTACATATGAGTAATTGATGGTCTGTTCCACAGTCTGCCCCTGGCCTTGTTTTGACTGATGATATGGAGCTTTTCCATGGTCTCTTTCTGCAGATGTAGTCAATTTGATTTCTACGTATTCCATCTGGTGAGGTCCATGTGCATAGTCGTCTCCTATGCTGTCTAAAGAAGGTATTTGACATGAACAAATTATTGGGTTTGCACAAAATTATACCATGTGTTTTCCAGCATAATTTCTATCACCAAGGATATATTTTCCAACTATTGATTCCTTCCTCTTTGCTCCCAACTTCTGCATTCCAATCATCAGTATTGATCAATACATCTTGATTACATGTTTGATCAATTATACAAATAAAAATGGTATAAAATAAGAAGTCACTTATGTTAAAAGACAATTGTTGTTATAGTTAAGTCAGTTCCAACTCATAGTGACCCTACACAGAGTTTCTGGTGGGTTTGAACTGCCAACCTTATGGTTCACAGTCCAGTGCTGATCCTACAGTGCCACACTAGGACTCCAAAAAAGATAATAATAATAATAATAATAATAATAATAATAAAAATAAAATAATATAAAGAGGAAATACCAATATACTAATAGAATGGTGGAAGAAAACCAATTTAGTATAGGTACAGTACATCTTTATTACCAAACACCAAAAAAATAACCAAATGGATACTAAAACTTCGATCTGTAATTTCCAGATGCCAAAGATTAATCCGCAAATCATCTGCAGATAAATATGTTTCATAATCACTATTAATAGAAATAGAGTTGATGTGATATGTATGAGCATTGGCAAATATTCTTCGTGGACTGGCCTCAACCATTAGATCCATGGGCCTAAAGACTGGTACCTGTCAATAAGACATATGAAAAACATTTAATACAAAACATTCACTGTTTACATAGCAGCTAAGATTGAGAGAATGTCATTGTAGTTTTTGGGAACATAAAAAACAATTATTACAATGATTTAGTTTTAAATAGCAATTGATGCTTACTCTTCAAAACAGTCAAACACAAATAAAAACAATTTGGATAATTTGCCTTTTCTTATAGACATGTGTAAGGAGCTCTGGTAGCGTAGTGGTTACGAATCAGGCTGCGAACCTTAAGGCCAGCCGTTCGAAACTACCAGCTGTTCTGTGGGAGAAAGACGAGGCTTTCTGCTCCCATAAAGATTTACAGCCTTGGAAACTCTGTACAGGGTCCCTATGAGTCGGAACCGACTCCAAGGCACATAACAACAACATAACAATAGACATGTGTAAAAGCTACTAGAATTTGCAAGGCCTACCTTGTGGTAGTGTAGTGGTTACGAATTGGGCTGTGAACCGCAAGGTCAGCAGTTCGAAACTGCCAGCTGCTCAGCGGGAGAAAGATGAGGCTTTCTGCTCCCGTAAAGATTTACAGCCTTGGAACCCCTGTTCAGAGTCAGAACCAACTCGACGGCACTTAACAACAACAACAACCTTTTGCTCGTGACATTTGCAATAACTATATGCTTATGGTTTAAATTAAAAATAAACCCACAGCATTTATTTTTTAGCAGCTGTGAGCTACAGCTAGAATATCTGGTATCTACTACTTTGATCTCCAAATAAAATTAATGTTGAAGATTACTTTTGTAATAATAGTGGATTTGAACTATGAGAATAAAAGAGAGTATAGTATTGTGTAAGGTACACAGCCATGTGTTTGTGTCCTGGTTGTGCCCCCGCCCACAGTGAGACCACTATTGTAGATAGTGAATGTTCTATGCAGAACACTATTATTTGATTTAAGCTCTGCTTGAGACAGAATACATGAAGACAGAAGACTATCAGATGGTACTTACTCGTAGTGTAGTAACCGTAGTAGGATCTCTATACCTTCCATCTTCCTCTTTCAGGTTATACCCTTCTGGTCTTTTATCCCTTTCACTGATTTTCCATAATTTTATTGTTTTATCTAGGGAGAAAACGAAGAACATTCTCAAAAAAAAAAAAAAAAAAAAAAAAAAAAGTACTCCAATACTGATAAAAGAGACATTTTAATTGCATTTTTGGAACTGTCAGTTAATATTTCACCTAAAAGGAATATAAGAATAAAATCCTTTGTCTGGTTTAATAAAAACAAGTTTCCTACTGCCAGGTAAATAAAAACACACACATAAATTTACAGGAAGTTGCAGATCATATAAATGCAAACACAGAAATTATAAGTTTATATATAAATAGTACCCATATACAATTTCATTTGGTATTTAAATAAAAGTCATATCTAGGTACCAATCTTTTAGAAATATTTAAAACTAGAAGGAAAGAATGTGAAAGCTAAACAATGAATAAGTATTGATGCATTTGAATTTTGGTGTGGCAAAGAATACTGAATATATCGTGAACTACCAGAACAACAAGCAAATCAGTTTTGGAAACAGTACAGTTAGTATACTTCTTAAAAGCGAGGATGGCCAGGGCCAGTATTTGTTTCGTATACTTTGAACACGTTGTCAAGAGGGACCACTCCTTGGAGAAGGACATCATACTTGGAAGAGGGGTCAGTAGTAAACAGGAGGACCCTCAATATGATGGACTGATACAGTGGCAGTGGGCTCAAAAACAGCTACAACTGCGAGGATGGTGCAGGTCTGGACAGTGCTATGTTCTGTTGCACATGAAATTGCTGTAAGCCAAAAATGACTCAATGGAACATTACAACATGTTATGTATCCAAATATATATTTACATACAGTTAAAAAAAAAACAAGGTAAGTTAAGATGGTCTATTGTTTAAAATGAAATGTTTAAGGAATTTGTATCTTCCTTGGCCCTGATTCACCCCACAAATTCCCTCAGTGATCTAGACACCTCAGCTAGTCAGTTAAGTGTTGGGCTGCAAACCTAATGGGTGGTGGTAGGGAGAAAGATAAGGCTGTCTGCTTCCATAAAGGTTTACAGTCTCAGAAACCCTATAGAGCAGTTCTCCTCTGTCCTATAGGGTTGCTGTGAGAATCGACTTGATGACAAGGTAGTTTTTTCTCTCACTACATCAGGGATTCAGAAGTAGGATGCAGGGCCTAAAGAAATACTGACCAGTTAAAAGCATTATTTCCGTAAGTTCTTAAAAAGAATATGTTGTTGTTGTTAAGTGCTGTTGAGCCAGTTCCAACCCATAGTGACCCTGTATATGATTTGTGAGGAGCAGCTGGTGAGCTTGGACCGCCGTCAACCTTGCAGTTTTAATGGCTTTGCAGTCTGACGCATTACCCTACAGCACCATACCAGGACTCTACATTTTTAAAATAGACTTTTAATTTTGGAATTAAGTTTAATGTACAGAGAAGTTACAAATAGTATAGTGTCTCAAAGAGTACTACTGTCAAGACTAAGAAATTAACATTGATGTGTTAGTAATGAAACCACAGATTCTATTCAGGTATCACTAGGTTTTCCACTAGTGTTTTTTCTCTCTTTCAGGAACCAATCCAGGATTCAAAACTACAATGCATTTAATCATCAGGTCTTTTTACTCTAACTTCAACAGTTTCTCAGATTTTTCTGTGTTATTATGTTTCCTAACTTTGATACTTGGGGAATGCTGTTAAAGTATTTTGTAAAATGTCCCATAATTGGGCTTGTCCATTTTTTTCTCCTGATAAGAATGGGATGACAGGTTTTCAAGAATGCCAGAGAAGTGTCTTTTCATTGTATCACATCGGGGGTAGATGGCATCCATATCTAATTTCTGGTGGTGTTCACTTTGATTACAAGGCTCACTCAATATCTACTAGGCTTCTCCTCCACATACTTAAAATTTGTTCCTGGACATAATTCTTTGGAAGCAAGCTACTACATTCAGTGTACACTTAAAAGGAAAATTAAGTCTACCTCCTGGAGAGGACAATGTTTACATATTATTTGGAATTCCTTGGTAAAGAATACATGACCCTCCTCAATTTACTTTGTTAATCATTAAATTAGTTGTTGTTGTTGTTAAGTGCCATCGAATCGGTTCCAACCCATAGTGACCCTGAACAGGGTTTCCGAGGTTGTAAATCTTTACGGGAGCAGAAACCCTCATCTTTTTCCCATGGAGCAGCTGGTAGTTTCGAACTGTTGACCTGGCGGATCGCAGTGCGATTCGTAACCACAACGCTACCAGAGCTCCTTAATTATATTAGTATTTACTCATATACTTTAAAATACTATTCTTACATAAAAGTATCACATTCTTAATGATCTTTTGTAAAAAAAAAAAAGGGTATAAAATAAAAACAAAATAATCTATAAAAGCAGTTCATAACAGAAAAAAATGCTACATAGAAATATGTGATTCCTCTGGTTCATTAATCTCTATTTTCTATTTGTAGAACATTAGTTGTCTTATGGATGCTTTTTTACTAGAGTGTAAAACAGAGAAACATGATCTATTTAGCAACTTACAATTGATTATTTCATCCAAGTCCTATGCAACCTTGATTATAGTTAATCCTGTAGTAAAGTTTCTTCTGTGTGTGATTTAAATAATTTATATACAATTAGAGTTTAAGTAGGTAAGAGTAATTGTGTATTTTAGAATACCTTACATGTTCAAAATCTGTTTTTATATGTTGTTATGCACCTTCAAATTGACTCCAACCCATAATATGACCCTACAGAACAGAGTAAGTACAATGACCAATAGAATTTCTGAAGCTGTTTTTTAAAACCTGTCAAGTGTGATTTGAGTGAAGGTTTATAGGGCAGAGCATAAGTTTTTTACATTCAACGTATCATACTTCAGATCGTCTCAATGACTGCAATCCCCTCAATGCAGTATCATTTATACTACATCCTCCCTGCTTGTTTCCATTCTTCCTTTCCCCCCAACCTTTCTGAATTTTGTTCTTGAGTAAATGCTGCCTTTGATCTTGAGCGGTTGACCATTCTATGGTGTGTATACCACTTGTGTTGCCGTCTCATGCTGTAGGATAAGCACTAGACTGCTAACCACAAGGTCTGTGGTTCAAGCCCACCAGCTACTCCTTAGAAACCCTATATATGGTTCACTATGAGTCAGAACCAATTTGATGACACTTTACAACAACAAAATATACTTTAAGTGCTGTCAAATTAGTTCCGACTCATAGTGAAGTCAGGGTTTGAGGAGCAGCATGGTGGATTTGAAATGCTGACCTTGTGGTCAGCAGTCCAGTGCTTATTGTACAGTGCCACACCAGGACTCCATCTATCCAATGCTTGGCTGAAAATTAAACAATGGGGATGAGTTTAGTTCTGGACCTTTATTTTAAAGAGTGACCACGGGCCAGTCTTGGGCTCCATCAGTCTCTTTCTGACTAGTAAGCCTGGTCTTTTTTTTTTTTTAAATAACTTTTGAGTTTTGTTCCACATTTCTTCTCCTCCTACCCAGAATCTTCTGTTATCCCTCCTTTATATAGCCAGACATCATCTAGTTCTGATCTCAGGGTTGTGAAAGGCTATCATTTTTATGGAAACAGACTGCCAGGTCTCTTCTCCCGTGTAGTAGCTGATGAGTTCAAACTGCCATCCTATTGATTGGCAGCTCGTTATTTAAACATACCACCAAGGTTACATATATAAGTTCATGGAAAAATGAAAGTGAAAGAGAATGGATTTCCCCCCCCACAAATGTTTGAAAGCTTACTAATCAGGATTTTGTTGTTAAGTGCCGTCGAGTCGGTTCCGACCCATAGCAACCCTGTACATGGGTTCCGGGGAGCAGCTAGTGACCTTGAACCACAGATGTTGCAGTTCAAACAACCTTACAGTCCATTGTGTGAAATACAGCACTATATGATTTGAAGGTTGTGTAAACACCACGTATCACAGTCAGGCCCTGCTTTTTCTTTAAGCCTCTGGAGTAAGCTTGCGCCTTAGCAGTGAAGGGATTGTTTGGGTCTTAATCCATGTCCATCAGGTAAGTTCTTTACACAGATTTACCTCTCACATTTTCATTAGCCTTGTAGCTTTCAGTGAAGCTTATCCTTTTGACAGCTTAGAGAATTTTTTTGTTTTTAGGAGCATCAAGATTGACAAGTATGACATATCTAAATCGAAGGTAGTAGCATTCACTCACTGATTTTCCACCTTTGCGCTGTTTAGTCATCTTTTCTCTCATCTTCAGATTGATATTTCTCCTTTTTTGCCTTTTAATACTGCTATCACTACTGGTTCTGCTACATTTGGGAACCAAAATAAACTTCACGGCAGCTATTTTTTTGAATGAAAATTAAACGTCGACATAACAATAGTACTTTAAAAATGCACAGTACTATGACTTGAAGCATATACTGTTAAATGGGAAACTTGTAAGATAGAAATTACAGTACTGTACATACATAAGCTAACACTCAAGTGTTTATTATTTCTACCAAGATGGAGCATATAGGTCATATACACACCGTGCCATTATATGCCTGATAGCACAATCACTTTGCATTTGAAAGATACTTGTGTGCAGAAAGCTGTTTTATTCTCCATTTGCTAAGTCTGAACTCTATTATAAGCTTCTGGGTCTACAGATATTGTCTTAATGGATGTCATGTGTTACATGACTGTATGCCAATAAACACACCCAACTTCACTTACATTTATGAGGGTAAGTCAACAAAGTATTGCTACAGAATAGCAGAAACCTTATTAAGCAAAAGGATCTAAATGTGAAGCCACTGTTTCTTCACATATCCTCTCATATGGGTCTATACACTTCTGAAGGCAGTGCCTCCATTTTTCTAACCCTTCTCCATAGAATTCTGCACTCTTCAATTTACACCATTATCAAAACAGCAATTCTGGCATCCTGTGGTGTTAGGTTCCATCAAGGTGGTTTCAACTCACACCAACCATATGAGCAACAAAACAAATTACTGTGTGGTCCTGCACCATCCTCACCATTGTCATTATGTTTGAGCCCACTGTTGCTGCCAGTGTGTCAGTCTACCTCATTGGGGGTGGGACTGGGGGTGGTGGTGGTATTGCTCTCTTTCGCTGCTCCTCTTCTTTATCAAGCATGATGTCCTTTCTCCAGGGACTGGTCTCTTCTGATAACATATCCAAATTATGAGAGACCAAGTCTTGTCATCCTAACTTCTAAGGAGCATTCTGGCTGTACTTCTTTCAACACAAACTTGTTTGTTCTTCAGGCAGTCCATGGTACTTTTAATATTCTTCTCCAACAACATAATTCAAATGCATCGATTCTTGTGAGCTCTTCCTTATTCACTGTTCAACTTCCACACACATTATGAGGCAACTGAAAATATCATGACCTGGTTCAGATGTATCTTAGTCTTAAATGGATTCCTTTGACCTTTAACACTTTAAACAGGTCTGTTGCAGCAGATGTGCCTAATGTAATATGTCAATTGACCTCTTTGACTGCTGTTTCCGTGAGTGGTGATTATGGATCCAAGCAAAATGAAGTCTTTGGACAACATCAATCTTGGCAAAACACTTGGCATCCCAGAGGGACCTTAACAGTGTTTCTTTGAATTTTGGAAATATGTAGGATTCTGAAAGGACAAGATCAGGGCTGTAGGATGGATAAGACAAGATGTCCTAATGAAGCTTTTTTAGGGGTACTAAGATTTTCAAAACAAAACAAAAAGCCTGGACACAACCTGTACAGCTTTCAATTTTTAAAACTTCTTTAAAATCAGTCCCCATGACTAGGAATCTGCTTCAGAAAAGTCTTGATTTTTCTTGATTACAAATTTTGGAATTCTCAAACTCAGGTGACCAGCAGACTCCTCGGAATCTACTGTTCTGATCCGACTTTTAGTTTTGAAGGCACTCTAATGAGATTAAGACAAGCGTTACTACTGAGACAACTTTTCTGTAGCCACTCACTGACTGCAGAGAAATGTTTAAACATGTTTTGTTTGGAATAAACCTCTGAATGTATGAACTTAACACTAGTAGCAATATTTTTTAGTTTTCCCTTGTATGTGGAATAGGTTTATTTGTTTAAAAATTAACACCTAAAAAAACCCAAACAAAAGACACCTAAGAAGGATGACAATTCTTTCCCTACTCACAGCTGTCTTGTCAATTTATTATATTTAGTAAAGATCCACATAAACAAATCACAATACACTCATCAAATGGCAAAAAATTAGACTGTAGTTTCTGATATTATTACAGGAAGAAAACAGTAAAATAAACAAACATTAAAAAAAACAACCAACCCCAGAAAACAAAAACCACCTTAACCCAAAACAAATCATGACAAACCAGTCTCCCCCCACATGCCCCCCCAAATTATAGGGTTTATTAGGAAAATGAATAGGTTGCAATGCAGGATCAGAAAATGTTCAGGGCACAGTTCTTCCAGTCAGGACAGCTCCTCAGTCACACCCAGAGACTGTTTTAAACAATATATGCTTTAAAAATATTGTGTCTTAAGGGGCATAAAAAATTTCCGTAGTGTAAACACAGGATATGATCAGAGGACAAGCTAGGTAGAAAATAACTCATAGTAACGATAACTTAAGTTCTTACAAGTCATTTTTTTTTTTTTAAAACCTGGAGTTTTGAGCCCATAAAAAAGCATGTGAAAATACTCAAACACTATTAAAAAGCAAGCAAGCAAACAACACTTATATGCAAGATCATGCAAAATAGATATATTTGTGAAGAGAAGACTATCAGAAGATTCTCCTACAAGGTTAAGAACTACTGTCTAAGATGTTTCCAGAATTTCAAGTTGGATTCAGAAGAGGATATGGAATGAGGGATGCCACTGCTGATGTCAGATGGATCTTGGCTGAAAGCAGAGAATACTAGATAGATATTTACACCTGTGCTTTACTGACTACACAAAGGCTTTCGATTGTGTGGATCATGATAAACTATAGACAACACTGCAAAGAATGAGTATTTCGAACTCTTAATTATGCTCATGAGGAACCTGTACATAGACCAAGAGGCAGTTGTTCTAACAGAATAAGGGAACAGCGAATGGTTTAAAATTAGGGAAGATGTGCACCAGGGTTGTATTTTTTCACCATACTTATTCAATCTATATGCTGAGCAAAAATCTGAGATGCTGGGTTATATGAAGAAAAACATGGCATCAGGATTGTAGGAACACTCATTAGCAACCTGTGATATGCAGATGATACAACCTTGCTTGCTGAAAGTGAAGAGACTTAAGAAATACTTTAAAAAATACTTACTGATGAAGATCAAAGACCACAGCCTTCAGTATGGGTTGCATCTCAACGTAAAGAAAACAAAAATCCTTACCACTGGACCAATAACATCCACATAAATGGAGAAAAGACTGAAATTGACAAAGCTTTCATTTTGCTCAGTATTTTGAAGGCAGAAGAGTCAAAAAGATGGGTGAGTGGAAACGGGGCACTCAGAGATGAACTGGGGAAAGTGCTGTTACATTGAGGGCTTGTAAATAATGTCACAAAGCACAATGTGTATAAACTGCTGAATGGAAGGCTGATTTGCATTGTATATTTTCAGCCACACCACACACTTGTCTGTGTAACTGAAGCCACTACATAATTTCAGAACTGAAACAGAATCAAAAGGTAATGTGCCAAGAGGAATTTACATTCTGCAGGACAGTATTCCCAAAAGATCTCTTAACAAATACACATTTTTGAAAGTGAAGAATATCACCTACAGGATAAATATTCAGAGTGGGCACATGAAAATTCTTCACAAAGATATTATACTTACCATTGGTAGACAATAAAAACTGAGCAGCATTTTTCTGGGGCAACCACCTAATTTTGTTGATCTTTTCTTCTATTTCTAAACTTTTCAAGTAGTCAAACTCTGGTTCATGGCTCTGGAAGGTGCTGTAAACATTATATTCTCCTCTGCTATGAGACTGGATTTTGTTCTAAAATGGAAACAAAAATTTGGACCATTGTTGAGAACTACTTCAAACCAATCACACATATAATCAATTACAACATCTTGTGAATTCTAACTGATCCATGAGGTATACTGTATGTATAATCAAGATTTTTATTTAGTAGTCTTCAAGGAATAAGCAAGAAAGCTTAAAAAAACAAACAACCTCCCCAAACCCAATTTAGAAAGAAAAGGTAAAGCTAAGTGAAATCTAATAATTTAAGCTCAATCTAGTACGAAAATACATCCCCCCCAAATGCGAAAAACTTCTCTGAAATAGCAGTGACTAAGGCATACCTCTTTTTTCTACCCTCTTCAGGATTAATTCCCAATCTGTAATTAAGATAATCTATTCTTTTTCTTTCCCAATGTCTGTTTTGTTGGGGCCTCTGGTGTGGAACTGCAGGATAAATGCACTGGACCCCAAGGTTGGTATGAACTGCAAGGTCAGCAGTTCAAACTTGCCAGCCGTTCCTTGGAAACTCTCTACAGGGTTTGCTATGATTTGGAACCAACTCCACTGCACTTAACAACAACCTTGTCTGCTTTAGGTCATTTCTTTGGTAAAATTTAAGAGAAGGGCTCTGGTAAAGGAATGACCTCATCAAGTCCTCTTATTATTATTATTACTTTTTTAAAAATCTCATTCCATAACATTGTTATAGAACTCCGTTATTGATTAAGTTCATATTCAGCATTATCCAGCACCATTCTAAATACCTCGCCCCTACCAACTGTTGATCTGCCCTTATGAGATTAGCATGCACTGGTGATTGGTTTCATTTAGTATCAGTCTAAGAAAATACAGTCTAAATAATCAGACAGACTTGTGAACCAACTATACTCAGAATTTTATCTTTTAGCCTACTGTTGTGTGCTGTTGAATAGCTTCTGAACATAGTGACCATGTATAGGGTTTCCAAGAAGCAGCTGCTGAGTTTGAACCGTCGACCTTGAGGTTCAAATCGACTTTGCAATCCAGTGCATTAACCCACCAGGACTCACTCAATCAAGCACCACACCAGGACGCCTACTATCACACCATTAAAAACCTATCAAGATCATTAAATTGCTATTTCAAAGAACTTACATGAATTGTACTGGTAAGTCAAGTAAAATTATAAAATGAAAATTGTTAGTACTTATCAGATAATAAGAATAATCATTAATCTCCATATAAAAAAGAGGCCTGGTAGTACAGTCGTTAAGCATTCAGCTTCACCAGAAGGTGAACGGTTTGAACTCACTAGTCAGTCTGTTGGGAGAACGATGTGGCAGTCTGCTCAAGTAAAGATTCAGAGGCTTAGAAACCCTAAGGCGCAGCAGTTTTACTGTTCTACAAGGCTTGTTGCTAGGGGTCTGAACTGACTCCACAACAATGGGTCTGGTTTGGTTTGCACTTAAAAGGCAACCTTATGAAATTATCATCTTGAAAATGTATGTTTTGGGATTTTCCACCCTTGTACCTTAATTAAACAGATTGATCATTCATTGATGCTTACACTTGAATCCTCTGAAAGTTATTATTAGTGAGTGGGTTTGCCCATGTCAAGAATCCAGAGTATAACAATCTATACTGGGGACAACCCACTTTCAGTGCCATTTAACTTATACTGACACATAAATGACCCTATGGGACAGAGTACACTTGTTGCATAGTGTTTCCAAGATTGTACATCTTTACAGGAACAGACAGCCGCATCTTTCCTCTGTAGAGCAGCTTGGCGGGTTTGAGCCACAGACCCTGCAGTTAGCACCTTAAACACTGAAGACTTGTTACGTGCTGTCAAGTCTGTTCTGACTTAGAGTAACAACCCCATATAGGGTTTTCCAGGGAGTGGCTGGTGAATTTGAACTGCTGACTTTACAATTCGCAATCCAGTGCTTACCCTACAGTGCCATACCAGGACTAAACACTGGAAATAGGAAAGGGTAAAAAACACACACAGAACCTTGGTCTCATTATCACTTTCTCATCTCAAATGAGATAACCTAATCCATTACACATAAACACTGTGCTATCACTCAGAAGAGCTCACATAAATCTACCTAAAATGACTTACCCAGTATCAAAGGTTTCTTTCTTTCTTTTTTTTTTTATGTTTGATTGTGAATTGTGTAATAGTCAAAGGTTTCTTTTTAAACCACATCCAAAACTAAACTCATTGCAGGGAGCCAATTCATGGTGACCACATGTGTTAAAAAGTAGAAGTGCTCCATAAAGTTGCTCAGCTATAATCTTTATGGACGCAGACAGCCAGGTCTTCCTTCGGTGGTGCTGCTGAGTGGATCTGAGCTACAATCTTTGGGTCAGTAGTTGAATGCAATCTCTTTTTGTGCCATTGACGGACCTTATTATTTATCATTATGCATTCACAAAAAAACCAACAAACAAAAAAAAGGATAAGATTTACAAAAACAATAAAAAGCTTAATATAGACGCCTTTTAAAGTTTTGTTTTTTAATTTAATGCTCAACCAAGAGACTATGGTATTATCCTCTTACCCACACAGATCTAGTTGCGTGAAATTTTTTGTTAATAAAATAAATTTAAGAGTTTTATTCTTAGCACCTAAGAGCAGCTGGAATACAACAGATGCCATTTCTGCTGCTGTGCATGTTATTAAGTAGGTTCTGGTCTGTACCCGGTTTCCGAGGCTGTAAATCTTTATGGGAGCAGAAAGCCTATCCTTCTCCTGTGGATCGGCTGGTGGATTCGAACTGCTGACCTTGTGGTTATCAGCCCAAAAAAATGTAACCCACTATGCAACCAAAGGTCCTTGTAATATAGTTGTTGTTGTTAAGTGCTATTGAGTCGGTTTAAACTCATAGTGACCAATAAATATTTTCCAAATGAACAAAATCAACAAGCAAAAAAGGTGGTGTTCATGTGACAGATTTGAAATAACCTGATAATGGGAGTAGTGTGCAGAAATCAGAAGAAATGGGTAGATGTATACATGGTAACATAGAAGAATCCTGAAAATATCTTAGTAGAAAAAATAGGCCCCTCCCCCACCAAAAAAAAAAAGGACACACAGCACTCTTTAGAAGCATTAAAAAACAGTATACAAAACTAAACTTTGGCTTAGTAGTAGATTTCTGCCTTTCATGAGGAAGACCAGGGTTTGATCCGTGGCCACGCACCTCATGCTCAGTCAACACTACCTTGTGTATAGTTCTATGATGCTGAATAGATTTCTGTGGAATATCCAGAGTAGGAAGAAAGGCTGAAAATCTGTTTCTAGAAAACTGCCATTGCTACAGAGAACAATGGTCTGATTCCATTGGTGTACCCATGAGTTGGGGGCGGACTCAAAGACAGTTAACAACATAATATGTACAACAAAGTCATTAAGACAATGTGATACTGAAAAGGAAACAGAAAAGAAACGTCAGAAATAAGCCCGACTTATGACAAATTGGCTGTTCTCAGCAACAAAGACAGTCTTTTCACCAAATAGTGTTAGGTCAATTTGCTATTTGTATGAAGTAAGACAAAGCTTAACTCCTACACCTCAAATCATATATGTAAACTGATTCCAGGTGAAATCAGAAATATAAATATGAAATGTACAATAACTAGGTTCTAGGACAACTCTTAAGAAGACCCCCAACGAGAAGGATTGGCCAAGTGGCAGCATTGATAGACTCAAGTGTGGCAACAGTAGTGAGGTTGGCCCAGGATCGGGCAGTGTTTTGTTCTGCTGTGCATAAGGTCACTATGGGTTGGTACTGACTTGATGGCACCTAACAACAACAAGACAACTCTGGTGTGGCACTGTGGGTTAATGCTATTAGACTACAAGGTCGGCGGTTTAAGCTCACCAGCTGCTCCTTGGAAACCTTATACAGGGTTGCTGAGTAGGAACTGACTTGTCGGTAATTAACAACAACAACAACAACAACAACAACAACAACAACAACAACAACAGGACAACTCTAAGTTGCTCTGGTAGCATAGTGGGTTATGAGTTGGGCTTCTAACAGCAAGATCAGCAGTTCAAATCTACTAGTCACACCACAAGAGAAAGATGAGGCTTTCTGCTCCTGTAAAGATTTACAGCTTCAGTAACCCTACACAGGGTTGCTAAAAGACAGAACCAACTCCACGGCACATAATCACCACCACCAGGATAGCTCTGGTGTGATACTGTAGGATAAACACTAGATTACAAACCACAAGGTTGGCAGTTCAAACTCACCAGCCACTCCTTGAAAAACATGGTTTTTATGAGTCAGAAACTACTTGTTGTTATGTGCTGTGGAGTTGGTTTCCACTCATAGCGATCCTGTACAGGGTTTCTGAGGCTGTAAATCTTTACGGGAGCAGAAAGCCTCATCTTTCTCCCATGGAACAGCTGGTAGTTTCAAACTTCTGACCTTGGGGTTCGCAGCCCAATTCGTAACCACTACGCTACCAGAAACAACTAGATGGCACTAAACAACTTTCTGCAATGATGAGAACCGTTTATACATGTGCTATTCAATATGGCAGATGGTCGTTGGTCACGTGCAGTTAACTGAGCATCAGAGACATGGCTACTGCAATGGACAGCACAGTTCTAAACTTAACAGGAATACTCTCCTGGACTTTGAGGCAGAGAGATCTATTTCTTACATAATAGGATAGTAAAAGTAGCTAACTCTAAAGTAAACATTGATAAATTCTGATTGCATTAATATCAATAACCTCAATATCAAAACATATCATTCAAAATACGAAAACTCAAGTCACAGAAAGGAAGCTACTTCCACAACCGTAACTGAAAAAGGGTTCCTATTTACAAAGTGTGAAGAAAATCTACTTATCAATAAGACAATGTGATGAACAGTTCACTAATTATCCTACAGTGCCATACCAGAACCCCATGAAATACTATGTTCGAGTCAGTTTGGACTCACAGCAACCCTATATGGGTTTCCAATGAGTGGCTAGTGGGTTTGAACCGCCAACTTTGCAGTTCAAGTTGACCTTGTGTGGTT